TCCAGCATTTGTCTAAGAACTGTATAATTTTAAATTCTTGGATATCATCTGATGAAAACAAATGATCTTTTATGGGACTTATTAATCAAGTCTGGTTTATATATTCCAGAAGTTCTAGCAACGTATTTATCATATTTCATTATATTCTTAGATAGGTTGCCAATAACATGTTTATTTTCTTAGAAAAGAAAAAATAGGGCGCCTGGGTGGCTCAGTTGGTTAAGTGATTGCCTTTGGCTCAGGTCATAATCCTGGAGTCCCAGGATCCAGTCCCGCATCAGGCTCCCTGGTCAGCAGGGAGTCTGATTCTCCCTCTGACCCTCCACTTCACCAGCTCTCTCTCTCTCTCAAATAAATAAAATCTTTAAAAGAAGAAAAAAGAAAGCTTTTATTGACCAGACCAGAAATTCAATTTTAGTATAAAATCAGTTAACTGTATCTGAAGATAAAATAATGCACATATGTATATATCCTTATTTTAATACATGAGAAAATAAGTTTTAAAGCCAATAACCAAAACAACACTTTAGAAGAATGAGCCAATGTGAACAATACCACAAATACGTAAGTCAGATGAATTCCCCTCTGTTCCCATCATTGGAATCCCTAGCACAGGGCATAGATAACATTAAAGGAGCCTCTTAAAAAACCTAAATAACAGTCTTCTCTTGAAGGGAATGTCTTGCATTTTATCTGTGGCACATAGAGCATTAAATTTTTATAATCAGAATCAAACATTGTTATAGTTTCACTAATTCTGAAAGATTTCTACTACACTCTCACTCAAGACCTTATGCATAAAGGATGTGTTCTCACTATTTCTAGGGGTATGGTATATAGTTTTTGTAACCATATTTTGCTAAGACTCTATTTCCTTTTATTAAGTATAATCAGAAGAATTTCTAAAAAACAAAACAAGGGACACCTGGGTGGCTTAGTTGGTTAAGCTTCTGCCTTTGGCTCAGGTCATAATCCCAAGGTCCTGGGACGGATGGGGCTCCCTGCTTAGTGGGGAGCCTGCTTCTCCTTCTCCCTCTGCTGCTCCCCCTGCTTGTGCATGCTCATGCTCTCTCTCAAATAAATAAAAATCTTTACTAAAAAAAACAAAACCACAAAACTAAACTAAAAACCTACACTTTTTCTGTACTCACTGTAATTGATCTGCTAGACATTAAACAAAAAGTAGCCCATGGGCAATATTAGGCAGACATGGAGGTACATTAAATCAGGTAGCGCTAGTGACATAACTACATTCAGAGCAGCCTGGGCACATCTCTGCCACCCCACCATCCAGCTCTTTTGTCCCCCCCCCTCCCCCCACTCCTGATCCCTCCCACTTTCTGAAGGACTAGCCACCTTGCTCCCAGAATTGCTTCATTCCTGGAATTCCTTTTTGGCAAACAAATAATGCATACAGGATTCGAACAGCTTTCCCACCCCTCACTCCGCTCTCCCCAATAACACCTATTAACAATAACCTTTCTTGCTTCCTTAACCAATTTTCAGTTCCTTCTCCAGAATTTCCTCTGTTCACAGATACTCAAAACATCTTGGCCAGGGAAACTAAGTAAATGACGTGCTTCAAGTTTTTATGGTGGATTTCCAAAGAAGTTGCAAATTTTATTAGGATATTGTTCACTGTGTTTTACAAATATTACATAAAACAATTTAAAACAGGACTTTCTTCCCCGTTCAAGCACCTGGGGGGACTGTGCGTTAAGTATAGTAGTACTTTCAAAGTAAGTGTAATAAGTAGGATATGGACACTTTAAACTTTTTCATTTGCTAATACTTGCAGTTCTTAAATGTCTCTGTTTTGTTTACAAAGTGAGTCTTAAAACTCCCTACAAAATACTCACTCATTTCACAATGCTGCTACACACTTCGGACCCCCTTGCCCTCTAACCCACGCCCCCTCACACTCGACACTTCCAAGAGTTACAGCCAACTTTAAAATGCTCTGCACAGTTTAAAACAGCAACAAAGGTTACAATGATTTACAATGAAAACCACCCACCTATACACTGAGGTATTCAAGGCCCTTGCAGGATATTTATCAACAAATCAGCCTCATTTATCACATCTCTGTTTTCAGCAGATTATCTGTTGCCCCAATCTTGCAGGTATGTCAACAATTCAGAATTCTCCAGGGCTCTGGGACTAACAACAGTTAACACCGGGGCCCTTTCTTCCCAGACTTTTCTTGTGTTGATACAGGACTCTTTCCAACCAGCCCTACTCCAACAACCGCTTGTCTGTTCCAACTTTAGAGACATGATAGTAATACGGAAATAATAAAAACAATACTCACAACCATCACAAGCCCCCAGGCCTTTCCAAAGAACTTTAATTAACAAACACGAACCACCCTCGGTAATTGTTTCATGGCACGTTAATGTTAAATTCCTTTGAAGCCGATTTCCTTTTTAAGTCTCAGAAAGCCGAGGCTTTGGAGTAAGTAGGTGTTGTTAGTGGCCTTATCTCTCTGCCTGACTTGCAGTTCTGTGTAGGCTGCTGAGTGTATTTCGGCTTGCAGGGAAGCTCCTGCTGTAATCAAAATATTTCAAACACTTTGTTTCTTAGTAGGCAGAACCATTCAAGAAGTTGCCCTAAGCATTCGAGCTGAAGCACCAAGACATCGTTTGTCCCTACCACATCATTCTCTGAACTAGGGAATATTCCCGCTATTCTCTCCTAGAATGGTCTTCCTTCAGTCACCAACCCCTCTCCAGTCCTTCTGAATTTTTGAGATTTAAAATCCCAGTTCCTCTAAGAAGCTTTTCAAAATTCCCTTCAGCTAGTAGTCTGACTCGTACTTCTAAACTCCACAATGTGTTAGCTGCTCGTCTTTGGGTTGCTTGCTATTTTTTATGTGATAACACTTTTTTAGAGGTTTCCTTCTTCGACTTTAAACTTCTTGCCTAAAAGCAAGTACAAGTCTTTAATGCAGCCCCTGCACAGTGCCCTGCATGACGAACAGACTCGTTTGATAGTTCTTGAAGTCATCAAGTAAAATGAATTTGCCATGTTATAGGGAGGACAGATCATGGTGTGTTTGGGGCAAAGAAACCAATAAATATTGAGAGACTGATGCATTCTTTATATGCAATTGTTTTAAGGATTTAATGAAATGCAAACATATGAAGATTTGAGAACAGTGTTAAGCACACAGTAGATGTTCAGCAAGATGATCCCTTTCCTTATGTTGATTTTCCCCACTCATTGAATAGTGGCTGTCCAGTTGCTCTTCTGGTTAGCCATTTTCAGAGGGTAAGAAATAACATTTAATGTGCATCCCCTGTGTCCCCCAAGCACAACGCCCTTGTTTGATTTCAGCTTAACACTGAATCTGCAAAGATTAACGGGGTGCAATGTCGCCACTCATCAAAAATTAGCCTCAGTTGTCACACTCTCAAATGCAAATGTAGGTTCTTTTTTTCCATGTACTGTGGCAGTTTAGTGTTGTCTAGACCTCCCTACTCACAGAACCACCTCAATTTTACTTAGAGGAAAGTGAGAAGAGACCAGGGAGACCTCAGGGTCTAATAATAATCCCACTTTGTATTAATAACCAAAAAGCTTAACAATATAACTGATAAGTGGTTTAAAAATTCAGGCTTGGTGGTTTTAATACCAATTCTTCTACTTACTTGAGTGTTAACTGCTTAGTTTCCTCATCTGTAAAATGGAGATTAAAACACCTAAGACAAAAGTATTTTTTTTGAGAACTTACTGATACAATGAATGCAAACTACATAGTTCAATTCTTGGCACACAGTAGTGAATTGTATTAACTGCGATCACTAAATATCTTCTCTTTATCTTTCAAGTATGTAAATATTGACTGCCTGATTCTTTAGGATTCTTTCACAAACTGAAAACAATATAGCCTCCCAGGGTATGCTGGGTTTTTTCCCTCATGGGTTCTACATTTGCCATTGCCCAAGTTAGGTCCTCAAGAAAGAGTTCAACAAGGCAGGAAACAGATATCCCAACTTAATTGTTCAATTAGTTTTCTCTTCTCTTTTCCATAATAAGCCTATAATGCTTTTATAATAAAGAAAATAAATCAAAATACTAATAAAAGAGTTACTACTTTGATTATCTGACTTTTAGCAAAGGAGAAAGTGATAATATCATGTTCTCTAATTTTCGCAGCTGGTTTACCATCTTCCCTTCCATCTCCCCTATAAATGACTAATGTAGTGCTATTGTTTTTTGAACTCCTTTCACTTCCAAGTTTAATTTTTTTGGAGAGACCAGGGCTGTGCCCAAGAGGACGTCTGCTCGCCTTATCAAGGCGGGCAAGGCTGCTGCTGGCGGGGCCAAAGTCCCCTTCCTCCTCCGCGGGATGGTGTAGTTGTTCCCTGGCCCAGAGCCTCCTACTCAAATTTTTTCACTTCCTAGACCAACCACTCTCTCTGTACACAGGGTGGAGCGCCCCGAAATACCTGGGCGAGGCACCACAATCTCAATTTACAGGTTGTAGAAGGGAGGGCCAGTACTTTCAGGTTTTCTCTTTCAAAAAATTCATAGAGAGGTATGGATTCTTAAAAATCTAATAAAAGCTAGGAGCATTCTCCTCCAGAAAAAATGAGCATACCAGTTTTCTGCATAGAATCTCAAAGTGTTTACAGACTCCCAGAGCCTCCAGATTAAGTCCACCATTCTAGTGGTGGGGGTTGGGGGAGGAGAGTGTTAAGGAAGGGGTGAAAATCTTGTATTGAAATCTTTCATATTTATATAAATATATGTAGATGCGTATACGAAGAAGCTGAGAAAGAGGTTATTTTAGAAGAGTGTTTTCCCGAAGTAAGTGGGTCTGAGTCTGGAGGCGCGGCAGGTCATACAAAGGGACCGCGGGCAACAGGTGGGCAGAACACCAGGTCCCGCGCCCTCAGAAAGCAGGGAGTCGAAGCGACAGGGCGCTGAGAATGGGGAAGGGGAAGGGATAAGGGGTGGGATGGGGGCGTTGCGGGGTGTGGCTGGGCTCCACTCACCGTTGCCCACCAAGCTGCGGCCCTTCCGGGCCAGGGTCTGCTGCACCTGCTCCTGGATCCGCAGGCTCTTGGCCGCCTGGCCGCTGCGGCTGCTGCTCCCCGCCAGCTTCAGCTTGGCCTCAGAGGGCAGAGCCAGGCTGGAGCTGTCCAGCTGCCCCAGGATCTGCTGGCCCAGGACTGTCCGGATGTAGCCGCACTCAGTCGGGGAGCCGGGGGCTGCCATGGGGCCGGAGGGGGCGACGAAGCCGCTTGCCTGCTGGGAGACCTGCGGACGAAGCTGCCGCGGAGCCCCGGGCACTGGCGCGAGCCCGCCCCGCCCCGCCGCCCCGGCCCCGCCTCCGGCCCCGCCTCCCCCACGCTTGGTAAGAGGCCCGGGCCGGGGAGTGCGCGGCCTCGAGAGCAGAGGCCCAGATTTCCACCCCCAACCCCACCTCTACCCACCCGGGCAGGGGGCGCGGCTCCGGCCCGGCACGCGCACTCGGCCTGGGAGCGGGGGCGGGGCCGCCCGCGCGCAGACACCTGGCGGGTTGGACGCCCCGCGGGCAAGATGGGAGCGAGGTGCGGTCCGCCCGGGGCCGCGCAAACCCACCGAGTCACCTAGGATTCCGCCCGCCGGGGCCGCGCCCGGCTCTGGTTGCAGCATTCCGCGTCCGCGCCGCGCTGGCAGAGGATGTGATTTCCGCTTAATTGCAGAAGCGGCCGCCCTCTAGGCAGGTGCGCCCTGGAGAGTCACTTATGATCCTGTGCTAAGATTTGCTTGTGGGATCCCCGAGTGAGCAGTTTATCTGGTTAGGCAGCCTCTGCCAAACTGTTCAACATTTCATGGTTTTCCTGGACCTGAGGGTGAGAAAGGTCAGGCAGGAAGGGCAGTAGGAGGGGAAGGTGCCAAGAAGATGATGTGTGTGAAATAAAAGACTTTTTTTAAAGTTGTTTTTTTTCCCCCCGTACAACTTCAGGGGCTATGTACTTTTTGCACAGATGCAGTCCCAGAAACATATGTTCTTCCTCATTCAGAGCTTCTGTTTTCTCATGTAAATACACAAATTGTACCCAGTACACTCTTGCTCACCCACTCCCTTACGAACACGCCCACAGAGAGAAACTCCAATAGGAGCTCTAGAGAAGAGCATGCTTTTAGTAGGTGATACTGTTTAACAGCCCTGCTAACGTTGATTAAGTCTGTTTATGATGGGGTTTTTGTAGAGGGCCCATGGAAGTGGCCTCTGACTTTCCATTGTATCTTCCACAACTTATATTTATCTTGCTATTAATTATGTTTCACGCCCGGTTGACTACTGAGAACTTGAGAGCCAAGCTCAACAGAAAGGGTCCTTGACCTTAAAGTTTACAGCAAGTCACTCGTCCTGATTTTCCTCTTCGGACTTGAGAGGCAGAAAGAAAAACATCTATCCCTGGTATTAAGTAAGATAATCTTCCCCTTAATTGCTTGGGTTTGTATGTTCACTTTCCCTCAAATCACTCAATTACTGCAAAACTCCATTTGTTCAGGTCTGGAGTGGCTGGAGAACACAGCTTCCCCCTTCTGTGCATACATTTCTACCCTTACACACACACTTCACGCACAGGTACATGTGCTTCCAGGGAGTGAAGAGGGAATCAAGGGGCCCAAAGCCTAGACAGTAGAGTGGTGATAGTTCTGTCTGTCTTTCTCAGCTGGCCACAAGCCTAAGGCCTTGGGCAATGTAATGCTCAAGTGAAGTCCTGTGGATGATCTTAATTCCTCACAGCAGGACCTTCCTGAAGTAGATTTTACCTTGTGAAGGGTTCAGTTCCACAGCCAGATGTAAACATTCAGCCCTGGTGCTGAGATTCAATTGAAAAGATCAGCGAACTGAAGGGGAAGTGGTGATAGAGACTTCCAACATCAGACTCAGTTCCCGTCCTCTCCTTTTTCTCTCTCCCTCTCCCTACTCATGGCCTCTTCTTGCAGCCCTGATAGTGCGGCACTGAAAGACATTTCAGTACCAGCCTTCATAAGACCCGTTGAGGTATCCTTGATTTTGTGCCTGGAGAGCCATAATGTACAAGGACAGCTCTGCCTTTATCTAGACCCCTCACCAGGGACTAGAGAGGAATTTTTAAAAATTTATTTGACTGAACCAAACTTCGTTTACTTTTTTCCTCTCAAGTTGGTTTTTTTTCTTTTTTAAGTTGATGTTGTAATTCACTATCTTCTTAGGTAGGTACCGATATTGAACTTGTAGAAATCTTGTTATGGGGTAATGCAGGTGATTCGACAGGAGGAAGATGGCTAAAAGCCTCACTCACCCTTTGTGGGGGAGGCAGATCTGGGTTCAGATCTGATCTTGCCTTTGTGAATAGTGCAGCCTTCAACAAGTTTCTTTATATTTATTGAGCCTCAATTCTCTTACCTATAAAATGGGAGCAATAAAAGTACCTACCATGAAGTGCAGCTGTGAGGATTAAATAAGAGGTTCATAAGAGCACTTAATAAGTACTTATTTAATGTTCTTTAACAAATATCTTTTGGGATCCACGTTTGGATTTCCTCACCTCCTTCAGGTCTTTGCTCATATGTCAACTTATCTCAATGAGATTACACACACAAACACACAGAATTACTCACTGTCTCCCTTTGCTGCTTATTTTCCCGTAGTACTTATTCCATTGAACATGCTTTATGTCTTACTTACCTAATTGTTGATTTTTTCCTACTAGAATATAAACTTCAGGAAAGCAGGGATGTTGTTTTGTTCACAGCTGTTCTCCAGGCCTAGAATAATGCACACAGGAGACAACAGATATATGTTGAGTGAATGAATGAATGAATCTTGCCTAAAAGCACTTAATATTTTACACGGTATGTAGTGAGTACGCCACAACCGTTAGTCAGCAATAATTATTTAGGCTTTCGAACTCTTTTGGTAACTTGTTATCTTTTATTTTTTTTATTTTTTTTTAAAGATTTTATTTATTTATTTGACAGACAGAGATCACAAGTAGGCAGAGAAGCAGACAGAGAGAGATAGAAGGAAACAGACTCTCTGCTGAGCAGAGAGCCTGATGTGGGGCTCGATCCCAGGACCTGGGATCATGACCTGAGCCGAAGGCAGAGGCTTTAACCCACTGAGCCACCCAGGCGCCCCACTTGTTATCTTTTAAAAAGTCACTTAGATATCATTATATATTCTAGGTATCCTACCAATTAGCTGTGTAATATTCCCTGTAAATAAATAACAAACTAAATTAAAATAATTTTTTGAATACTTTCATAATTCAATGGTTCAGTATAACAACCTCTTTGAAATTAAGATAAACATATAAACTCATTAAAAGGATCTCTTTGGATGTGAGAATCCTATTGCAATAGCAATAGTTAACTACAGGGTGAGGAAGTATGCAGATTCTGATATTGTGCCCCCAAAACACAGAATAGATGTGTTTCTTCTCCAACAGAGTACTAGTCCTGTCATATTCTTTGCATTTCCTGGGAATGCTGCCTAGCTGACTTCCTAAATTGTGAGCAAGCCCTAAGATTAAATGCTAAGGGCAGCTTCTGGCCAACAAATTATGGCATGGAAATAAAGTCCTGTGAATATTTTTGTGATATTTGGCTAGGGTTCTGCAATCTGCTACTTTTTAGTATTTTGGTTGTTTTGAAAATGCTTCCATTTCTTTTGTTTTTCATTTATCAATAGAAACTTATTAATCAAAGGGAAAAAAAGTAAAACCATAGAGATGTTGAAGTGGATTATAAATAACAGATAACTGAATTATTAGGTTACTTCTGTTGAAAAATCTGCAATAAGGATTCAAAGAATTCTTGAGTTTAAATTTGAATTTTTATCTGATTTATACATTATAGCCTTAAAACACTAATCTTTTATTGTTTTCAAATCTACAGTTAGGGTGTCCTCAGAGTAACCTTTATTTTCTTTTACCATTTATAAATTCCAATATGGGAAATTCCAATATTCACAAAATTCTCGAAGTTACTAGAAGACTATAGTATAAATTTTAGAACAGAAATATTCTATAATGTTCTTCATTAAAATATTAATGGCATCAAAACTCTTTGATTCATATTTTTAAAAAAAGCTTTAACACATTTTCATGAATGAAACAATTTCCTGCTACTATTTGTAGCCTATTAATATCTATTACTTTTATTTATTTATTTTTAAAGATTTTATTTATTTATTTGAGAGAGAGAGCAAGGGCAGGGGCAGAGGGAGAAGCAAACTCTTCGCTGATTGTGGAGCCTGACTCAGGGCTTGATCCCAGGACTGCAAGATCATGACCTGAGCCCAAGTCAGATGCTTAACAGACTGAGCCACCCAGGTGCCCTAATATCTACTGTTTTTAAAAAAATATTTCCTAATTTAGTGTAAGAGACCTGGCAGATAGAAAATTTAAAATAAACCTCAGGTTTTATTTCTCCCTTCAGCAAATAGGTATGTTGCCAAGGCAATGGGTAACAGTTTTCTCATTAGCCACATACAATGAACCTGAATTAGGAGTGGAAAAGGAAGCTCTGAGCATGTACATGTGGAACACCACTCTGGGATGGAGACTTTTAATGCCAGTGAGGGTTAAGATGTTTATCTTTAATGCAGATGTTCATCTTGTCTGCTATTTGGTGTACACTGTCAGTATGTAGGTTGAAATTATCCTTTTTAAAGACCCCAAATGTGATGTGAGAGGTGGAAACCAGGTGGGCAACCATAAGGGCTGGCAATGAGTGATTTGTTCGTAGTTACTAAGGCTTTCAAGACCGTTTGTTTAGGGCCGATTGGTGGGTTCAGTCAGTAGAGCTTGAGACTCTTGACTTGAAGGTTGTGAGCTCAAGTGCCACATTGGATGTAGAGTTTACCTAAAAAAAGAGAGAAACACTTCCTTTAAATCATGACTCATGGGCATGTATGAGCTCAGTACCTCCTTGGGGTAATGACCACAGCTGCTACATTAATGGCTGTCACTACTTTCATCTGATGGCCAGAGAGGCCGAGCATAGAATGTTTTTCCATTTCTCTGTGTCCTCTTCATTTTCTTTCATAAGTGTTTTATAGTTTTCAGAGTATAGATCTTTTACCTCTTTGCTTAGGTTTATTCCTAGGTGTCTTATGGTTTTGGATGCAGTTGTAACTGGGATTGACAGGAACAACGTTTAGTGATTTTTTTTTTTTTTAAGATTTTATTTATTTATCTGAGAGAGGTCGTAAGTAGGCAGAGAGGCAGGCAGAGAGAGAAGGGGAAGCAGGATGGCCGCTGAGCAGAGAGCCTGATGCAGGGCTCGATCCCAGGACCCT